ACTTCCTGCTGTTCTCTGTACCCACTAAGACTGTTGTCCGATTTTCAAGTTTCTCCATAAGTAGGCCCCAACCTCCCTGCTTTCAAATATATGTCTGTTTCTCAAATATTTGTCGTATGTAATTCTTTCCCTTCTTGCCTAAAACAAATATTGCTCCTTCTCCTGCAAACACCTAACTCCTTGTCATCCTCAGACCCTCCTGAAATGCTGAGTGGACCTGCCCCACTGATCTCTCTACTCCTGGGGACTCTCTTATTGTGCCCGGAGGCAAATTATCATGCAAATTAGCACAGACACACTGTACCTCACTTTGATGTAGCCATTGTTGTCCATGGGAACTGCATTTTCATGTGGGAACTATGAGTCTTATCACAAATAGATTGTAAATGCTTTGAAATTAGAGATTATAAAGTACCAGTTCATGATCTCCCACTGTTCTGGCGTAAGAACCCACATAGTAAATACTGAGGTTGTTTAACTTAAAGTGCAGGCCTCACCATCTTGATTACGCTGTTGCCTGGGCTCACCATCAAAACTTATAGCAGGTTTTACATAATATTTCAGGATCACAAAAGTAGATTCAACAAAGAAATGAGTTGATAGCAGGGGTAAGGTGGGGAAAAATCAAGGGTAATTACAGGGAAACTTGTAGCCTGTAGGGGCACTAACTCTAGTTTTTTCCAGAAAACTTTAAACAGCCCTGTTGTGAAAAAACATTCTTTTAAGTAATTGAGGGGCACAGCTCCCAGACTGGAAAAGTACTTGGGAGTTTGTCACCTTTTCTGACATTCCTACCTCTATTCATTTTTCTTCTGACTACTTGTGTTAGAAAAGAGAATACTAAGGATACTTATTCCTCCTTCTCAGTCCCAACAAAAGCAAACCCAAGTTACAGTTGAGATTTCTGCATTTTTTCTTCTAAGTGATTCTTTGTCCTTACTCCCATGCTCTTTCCCATTTCCTATATTTAGCAGGCTCTGGAGTTTAACCTGTAATTTTTATTGCCCCTTGGTAACATTGCATGGATATTTGTTCTGATTTGCAGATTAAATCACCGGAGTGAGGTGAGGGTTGCCTGAGGTTGCACAATAAATCTGGCCCCAAACATGGGTAACCCTTGAGTTTCCAGTCTGTTGATTGGCCACTGACCCGTGCAGCGGGCACACAAAGGAAGCTGCACCCACAGCACTCTGCTGTGGACGGCTGCTGAGCTCCGCGTTCGCGTTCGTCATTGGGATCGCTTTGTTTCCTGCCAGGCCCAGCATTTTCTTCCAGCCTGGCTTTCGTCCTTCTTCCCAGTGCCTCTCCTGAGTTCTGAACGTGAAAGCTAGGAGATGTGCTTTAGAGAAGCTTTAAGATGTATAAGAAATGAGAAGAGTAAGCGCCCATCGAACTCCATCAGCAAGGCCAGAGCTGGCCATAGAGACCCTGTTTACTTACAATTAATGAATTTAGATGGGGGAGGGGCTGGGCAAGGCCTCCTAGTGACTATGTTCAGTTTGGAGGAATTCAGATGTCCTTCTGCTATAAAAGTGAAGCTGTGTAATACAAACGAGTTTACCTTTCCTAAATCTTCCCCTCATCATACCAATACTGTATCACTGAGATTTGGTTATGATTTATATAAATGGTAGCTAAACAATTCAAACAGCTGAGGGGGAGAAATCTCATTTTAGAACTTCACGTGCTGTACCGAACTAAATAAATAGCGTAGGCTGTTGGCTTTGTGACAAACCCTTTGTCATTTTTCAGAAAACATTTTGACTTGTTAAGGTCAATTCGGAACAGTGGGAAAAATACAGGAAAATAAGGTACATACATGTTGAGCAGGGGATAAAAAGAATGTTACAAGTCAGCTGCTAGCTTATAGTAGCAATACTAGCAGGCAGCAACACACCAACCTAATGAGTCATTGGAGAGATACCAGCACCTTTGGTGAGTCAGGCACACATTTGGGTGCTGGAGGAGTTGGGCTGTGGGTTGATAGTGTCTACTCTAGCAAGCAGCTCCGCCTTGTAAACAACTGTACCATGTACAAAGAGAGCTGGCATCAGAGCTTACTGAGCACAGCTGCTCAGGAGTGGGAAGTCAGTTTCGCCTGTTATCTCTTAGATTCCAAAGGTTACTTTCCTCTTTGTTCCCTTCCCAGGATCTGTTGGAGTAAAAACTGCAAATTAGTTTCAATTAAGAATTTCCCTAGAATTCTTAAGTACCTATGCTGTCTTAAAATCTCCTGTTGAGAATCCTGTTACCTTGCTTTAAGCCTTCAGTTACTTTAAGATGTGGAAGAGGCCAAAGGGCCTTTGCTTTTGGCCTTCGGAGGGATGGTCCTTATCTGAGTGAGCACTGTGGAAAGACTGAGGGCAGTGACCCCCTGAATGAAAGTGATTTTGCAAAGTTTAGGCAGATGCCACCATCAGAAACTGTTGTTTCCTGCTCTACTTCTCACCTTCCTCTTGAGCACCCAGTCTGCAGAAATGACCAGTCAAGGGGAAATGCTGATATTGACCTGTCCCTTAGAGCAGTGTTTCTGCCTTTTTGATGGTAAAGCACAGCAACGCATTTTACATAACCCTGAATCTACACATACGTAAAACTGAAAGATTCACAAAATGATCCCTGTTGTTGCTATTTTCAGTATGTGCTGCCATATTTTTTTGTTGTTGTTGTTTTTAATGCTGGTTGTGGCTTCCTAAGGGGTGCATGCAGTTTTAAAATCTAGGCCCTAGGGATGAAATGCTACCTGTGGTGATTATCTCTGGCCAGTCTCCATGAGTCTTGGCTCTAATCTCCAGTCCTTGGGCATTTTGCATGCCTGGCCTTTGCAGTTGTCACCAATGGGTAAATATAGCTGGATCCAAAATCTCCGAAGTTGGGAAGCAGATATCACAGATGGGGCTGGGCCCATTCTTCAGGGCACTCATTATGTACAGTTGGTTTTACATCAGGGGTCAGGGGATTGAGCATAGGTGTCTGGGCACAAAGCAGGGCCTTTGCCTTGGGGCTTGTGATGTGGCTGAGTGGAGCCTGCATTGCTCTCTCCCTGTCCAAAGCTCAGGAAACTGATATGCCACCCCTGAGGGAGAGAGCCTACTTGTCCAGACAAGGAGGTGTTTTACTTGTGGAAGACGCTGGGGACAGAATCATTGAGGAAGGGGGTGCTGTGTCCTAGTGGTGGAAGAAAGGAGATGTGGAGTAGGAAGCTGTGGCATGGACCTCATCCGAGGTAGCACCTGGCTGGGCATCATGACCTCCACTCCTTCCTGAGTAACCAACACTTTGAGTGAAGAAGGGCGGCTGCACCCTCAGCATAGTTCTTTGCACCAGCATTTGGTGAATGCATATTAGGTGTCAGATGTTGACCTGGATGCGGAGTGTAGGATGTCTGCAACATTGTGCCTAAAATGTCTCAGGATCGGGTATAAGAAAGTGCTGTGGCAAAGCAGATGAGAAGTACCTTTGGGGGAATGGGGTGATCCTAATTCAAGCTTCCCAGAGAAGGATGTCTGTAGAACTTAGGATGAGTAGACTTCTTATTAGCAAGGGAGGTAGGGCATGCCAGGCCACAGGACTGCTGGGACAAAGTCCAGAGCATAAGAAGTGGCAAGTGTGGCTGTGCTCCCAGCCAATAATTTGGTACTGTCAATTGATGTGACAGAATAGCTGGAGAGGCAGATCCTAAAGGGTCCTGTGTGCCATACTAAATCGCAGCCCCAACTTCATCTTGTCACTGAATAAGGGCAAGGCTCTTAAGGGGTTTAAAGAGCTCAGCCTCATGGTTAAATCTGAGTTTTAGAAAGGTCACTCACTATAAAGTGGAAGGTGGGTTGGCCAGGGGGTCATTCAGTCTGGTGAGAAGCAACGATGACAGGAAGGGGTGAAGAGAGATTTAGAGGAAGTGATTCACAGGATTTAATATTTGGAAATGGAGGAAAAGGAAGACTTCTGGCATAGATTTCTGGCATAGATAAATGAAGTACAGTCAGGCATAAATAAAGAGAAATGGAAACAGCAGGTTTTAGGGGTGAGGGTAGCAGAATGGGTTAGAAATGGCATTGAGTACTCCCGTGTGCTACATAATTATCTATTGACTTTATATGTCTATATAATTTGCATCAAGACTTTGAGTAAACAGTCTTATCCCAGTTTTTCAAATTTCTGAATTAGATGCATGATATAGTACCAGAAAGAGCAAGTGGCTGAGCCAGCATTCGTGTTCACACTGCCTGACTACAGCGGCAGTGCTTGTTTGCTACATCCTGCTGCTTCCCAGTTTACAGCATGTTAAATTTGACTTTCCAAATGAAAAAGTACAGAAAGAAGGTGACTGTATAGATTTGGAGCTCACAAAATAATTTTGGTTAGTGAGAGTTTGGACTGTTCTTTTGAGAAGCAAATCTTGACTCCTTGGTTGTGAACCTTGATTTAAAAAAAAAAAAAAAGATCTTACTCTTATTCCTGACTTGCCTACAACAAGCTTTAATGGGTTTTTACTGGCGAGGACTTTCTTTTCATCTAGTATTTTGTTTTAATATAGCTACCTTCATCCTGATTATATTCAAGTCAGCATATTCATGGATATAGCCATTTGTGAAATTTGAACTTTAAATATACAAGATTATAGCCATTTGGGTTTGTTTTTTTTTTAAGAGTAGTGGGAGAAACAGATCTCTGATTCTGAATGGGAAGATAATATAGGGTTTTTTCCCTACCTTTTCCTCTACTCCTCTAAAAAGAAAATAAACAGCTATATGGCTCTGCTAAATACTAACTGCATCATCACCTTTTGTCCAGATCAGTCAGGTTACTTTGGTTTTAAGAAATTAGGAATAAAAAAAAATAAATAAAAAAAAATAAAAAAAATAAAAAAATAAAAAAATAAAAATTAACACTGGGGCTCTTATCAAAAAAAAAAAAAAGAAATTAGGAATAGTTTGTTTCTTTTCAGTAACTCAGTAACTCATTCACTGGTTATTCTTTTCTTTTCTTGACTCTGATAGGTGGCATTGAATGTTCACAGGAAGCAGTGCACGGAACAGCTGCATAAGGCCACCCACCAAACTTAATGAAGGATGCCAGAGTGGAAAAATTTTGATGTGCCAGTATCTTCATTCTACAGTGTGTTCCATTCTTTTGCAATCTCAGAAAAAAAAATGGTATTAAAAGAAAATATTTTGTGAAATAAGATCATTTTCCATTTTTAATGACCAACATGTAGTAAGATGGACATCTGCTCTACAGAATACAAAGTTCTATGGTCTCAAAAAAGCCAGAACCTGTTTAAAACTGATCCTAAATAAAAATAGACCTGAATGGATATGAGAAGGTTTATCAGTGGCAGAAGACTCAAAAAATGGCAGTTTATTCAGTTATTTGCCACTTGTTTTATACTAAGCCTCATGTTTTTTTGGGACCCGATTGATAATCACATTGTGAGACATATGAAGTCCTACTCTTACAGATACCTCATAAACAGCTACGACTTTGTGAATGATACCCTGTCTCTTAAAAACAGCTTAGCTGGGGCTCGCTACCAATACTTGATTAACCATGAGGAAAAGTGTCACGCACAAGACGTCCTCCTGTTACTGTTTGTAAAGACTGCTCCCGAAAACTATGATCGACGTTCTGCAATTAGAAAAACATGGGGCAATGAGAAGTATGTTAGGTCTCAGCTTAATGCCAATATCAAAACATTGTTTGCCTTAGGAACTCCTAATCCATTGAAGGGAGAAGAACTGCAAAGAAAATTGGTTTGGGAAGATCAAATGTACCATGATATAATTCAGCAAGACTTTATTGATTCTTTCTACAATCTTACTCTTAAATTACTTCTGCAGTTCAGTTGGGCAAATACCTTTTGTCCACATGCCAAATTCCTTATGACTGCTGATGATGACATATTTATTCACATGCCAAATCTCATTGAATACCTTCAAAGTTTAGAACAAATTGGTGTTCAAGACTTTTGGATTGGCCGTGTTCATCGTGGTGCTCCTCCCGTTAGAGATAAAAGCAACAAATATTATGTCTCCTATGAAATGTACCAGTGGCCAGCTTACCCTGACTATACTGCTGGAGCGGCCTATGTAATCTCTGGTGATGTGGCTGCCAAAGTGTACGAGGCATCACAGACACTTAATTCTAGTCTTTACATAGATGATGTGTTCATGGGCCTTTGTGCCAATAAAGTGGGGATAGTACCACAACACCATGTGTTTTTTTCTGGGGAAGGTAAAACTCCTTATCATCCCTGCATCTACGAGAAAATGATGACATCTCATGGACATGTACAGGATCTTCAGTACCTTTGGGACAATGCCACAGATCCTAAAGTAAAAACCATTTCAAAAGGGTTTTTTGGTCAAATATACTGCAGGTTAATTAAGATAGCTCTCCTTTGCAAATTGACCTATGTGGACACATATCCTTGTAGGGCTGCATTTGTCTAATAGTACTTGAATGTTGCATGTTTTCACTGTCACTGAGCCAGACCTGGATGAAAAACTTTTACATGTTTGTCTACTCTAAGTAAAATGAATATGAAAGACAAAGAAATATTTTGAAAGCCCAGTCTATCAGAATGTTTCTTTGATTCTAGAAGCTATTTAATGACGTATCTACTTCATTGCCTAAATTTACTTCCAGGTATTCATATTTAGAAGAGTTTATACTATTAATGAAAACAAAACTAAAGGGAAATTCAAGTTCTCATTTAATGCCACATGTCTATTTTTGGTGATGAGAAGTTAAGAAGCCTTGCTGTTAGAATAACTGCTTTTGGAAAATACCATCTTTGAAGAAATTAATAGATTGTTAGACCAGGTATACAAGTTAATTTTTGTTAAAGAGCACTTCATGGAGGTGGTAGGGCCAGGGAAGCATTGGCATAGGAGAAAGTACATGAATCTGGTAAAAAAAAAAACAAAAAAACAAAAAAACCTTTTAAGAGGAGATGTAGGAAAATGTACATCATTTCATTATAAACAGCCAAATTATTTATTGTTATATCCAAGTAGCTATTTTTACCTACATGATGTTGGAGTCATTTAAAATATATCTTTTTTTCAAAGTTTAATGTAAACCTTGAGAAAAGTCATTAACTCTGTCCTAACTGGTACTTCATATTTTTTTAAATTTTCTTTAAAATTTTAGAAAATGACACAAAACATGGATAGTTTGTTGCCCATAGGGTCCTTCTCTAGGGAGAAATCATTGTTACTTCAAATAAGATGATTTTAATTTAATGAAATTTTCAGCTGGATTTAAAATATTCAATATTGGTCTGTACTTAAGGTTGTTATTTGAATGTAGTTTACATAGAGTAATATAATAATGGGGACTTTAAAAGGAAAGATAGAACATTAAAAGCCTCTTTTCTCCATAATTTATAAAATTTTGGTGTCCACATCATTGTACTGATTACTAAAATTAGCTCACCCATCCCCAAGAAGGTCTCTTAAACTACAGTAGGTTGTTCCAAGTTCAGAGTTTTAAATTGAGAATATTAAACATCGAAGCTATAATATCTATTTTTTTATAAAGTAACTATCAGAAGTGATCTTTATCTTTTACTTATTTCAAACTTGAAAGCAGAGTAAAAGTGATGGGAAAGTTGCCAAAAAGGTTTAAAGCATTTGTAAAGCTACATGTTCCCTGTAATCAAAGGGATGTGGCTGAGATCTAATAAAGTGATGTTTGTTTTACAAGGCAGGATAAAAATGTGGCTGTGATGTAAACTACCTCCCCTCACTACAGAAAGAATTGGGTAATATCCATTGCTAGGGAGATTATATGAGGGCCAAAATAATGACTTCAGCAAAAGTAGTTGAAAGGATTATAAAACCTTGTTTGCAGAGGCACCTGTTAGGGAAAATAGGATGTCTCATTTAATAAGATGATGTCTGAAACATGCAAAACAAAACTAAAAAAGATTTCTCAGTAGACACAACTGGATTATGATATTTATAATTTTTAGCAGATAGCTTTTTGAAAATGTTTACAGAAATTTTTTGTTAATTTTTTTCTATTTTGAAATTTGAGGCTTGTTTACATTGCTTAGAGAATTTAGTATCTTTAATGTCAGAACTATGGTATCAAATATTCTAGGTTGTAGTTACTTTCAGAGTAGGTTCAAGGTTTTAGAGCATCATGGTTTAAATTTTCTAATCAATTTTAAAAACTGTGAGAACAAAAGCATATCTGGACAAAGCAGGCTTATAATTAATTTTTATTAGTTGATTCTTTTTTTTTTGAGACAGGGTCTCGCTTTGTTGCCCAGGCTAGAGTGAGTGCCGTGGCATCAGCCTAGCTCACAGCAACCTCAAACTCCTGGGCTCAAGCGACCCTCCTGCCTCAGCCTTCCAAGTAGCTGGGACTACAGGCATGCGCCACCATGCCCGGCTAATTTTTTCTATATATATTAGTTGGCCAATTAATTTCTTTCTATTTATAGTAGAGACAGGGTCTTGCTCTTGCTCAGGCTGGTTTCGAGCTCCTGACCTCGAGCAATCCGCCCGCCTCGGCCTCCCGGAGTGCTAGGATTACAGGCGTGAGCCACTGCGCCTGGCCTGATTCTTTAATAACCTTTTGCCTTTTGGCCATATATACCCTATGTATCTATATGTGGAACTGTTTAAATTTACCATTTGGTTGAAAACATCAGTGTCACTGGCCATCAAAGTGATGTTGTTTACAGCAATACTTTTGTGAATCAGCTACTTATTTGCTGAAAGAGCTCTCCTGAACTGTGTTCTTTTTATTTTTGCTTAGAATAGAACAGAACATGTTTAAATTTAAAGGAAATATGAAGGCACTTCCTTTTTTTATAAGAAGGAAGTTGCCAGATGATTCCTTCATCAGACTTACAGTACTAAGAATAGTATTTATAAATAAAAGGGTTCCAACCTTTTAAAAAAAAGAAGGAAAAAACTTTTTGGTGCTCTAATGCAGGGCTATCTTTTTTAAAAATACCAACAAAGGGAAACTAAACAATCACCCTGGATGGTCACTTGAGTAGAAGATGATTATAAACAGTGTTATTAAAATTTTTTTACCTTTCGGTTGGTTTGCATCTTTTTTCCATATTATTAATTTTATACCAAAATGTTAAATATTTGTATTATTTGAATTTTGCTCTTGTATGACAAAATAATTAGTGGGTTTAAAAAAAAATTATGATTTGCAATAAACAACTTAAAAATTGTCAGTAAATGTGTGTTTAAACTCCTGTGTGGACACCATTTGTTTATGTAATCAACTTGTTCTGTTTAATGTACGACACAGTGTTAGTCCTGTGCCTGTTCAGGCTTGCTGCTCTGCCCAGGATAGAGGATTATCATGTCCTCTGTATTATGGAGTCACCTAAGATACTTCTGTTTGTTGAATGACTTATGCTGGAATGTCTATTCGGTGGGGGGAGGGTCATTCTTTCCTAATACAGTCATGCGCCAAATGATGTTTTGGTTAGTGACAAACCATATATACAACAGTGGTCCTATAAGATTATATAGAGCTGCCCTATACAGATGTACCATTTTTAATCTTTTATTCTGCATTTTTATTGTACCGTTTGTATATTTAGAGATGTTTAGATACACAAATCCTTACCTTTGTGTTAGGATTACCTACAGTACTCAGTGCAATAACATGCTGTACAGGTTTATAGCCTAGGAGCAACAGGCTATATACCATTTAGCCTAGGTGTGTAGTAGTAGGCTATACCATCTAGGCCTGTGTAAGTATACTCTGTGATGTCATTCACACAATGACAAAATAGCCTAACAACACATTTCTCAGAATGTATTCCTGTCATTAAGCAATGCATGACTCTAATTTGTTCAAAAAGGGCTGAAGTAACCTGTAGTCATAGTGCCTTAAGATACCATTCGAAAGGTTATATTTTCCTTTTATTTGATATTGTGAGCTATCCAAAATAGATTCAAATTTAGCCCTAGTCTCTTAATGTCAGGAATGCCCTTATAACTACTTTGGAATATTTGATGCTTTGGTATATTTGCACATAGTATGTTCTCATCTATTTTTCACCTAATTCCTACTCAATGCTTGGCATAGTATATATTAAATAGCATGAGTCAATCTATATATTTTTTAAAACTTGGAAGCATCTGAATTATTTGGTTGTAGTAGAACTCTTTACTCACAAGACGTGGTTAGGGTGTTTGTATTTGGGACTAAAATGATGATTCCTTGGAAGAATTAATTAACTTGACCTATATATGAGGACTTTAATTGGATGCTATAGCTGCAATGAGAATGGAACGAAAGAACTCTTGATATGTAGGGTATTTCATCCTGCTACAATAGTGAGAGGAAGATTAGATGTCTCCCTGACTCAGTTTTCTTTCCAATCACTTCTGCATTCTGCATGACACAATCCTTAATCTCAGCTTTCTTTATAATATTCCTTTGCTCCAGAGCTAAAAGGCTCCTTACTGCCTCTAGCATCACGTTTAAATTTTTCTACCTGGTTTTCAAGACTCTATGTAATCTTTTCCTCCTTCACTCCTATAGCTTGATCCTCCGCTACTTCTACTATTATCTATTACAAATTTCACTCATGACCATACCTTGCTTAAGTTGCTTTCTCTTGCCAGGGACACTGTTTCTCCTGTACCTGTTGAAATCTTGGAAATTTGACCCTACCTTCACTCCTTTCTTAAGCATCTTCTCCTTCCCAAATTATGCTTAATCCCATATATTACTTATTTCCTACTAATTTTTCCATGTGTTTTTTTTTTTAACTAGCTATAATGTAAATTCTGAAGGGAGGGACTCAGCACAGTATTACCACATAGCACTCAAAATCATTATTTTTTCCAAATATAATAAGATAATGTTATTCTGGCAAGCCACTCAAATATGAAAAGAGTTTAATCAAAACCCTTAATGGACACTATCTGGCATAACATTTTACCTATACTACTTAAAAGTTTATAATTTAGTCAACAAAATCTGAATACTTCCTACATGCCAAGCATATTACAGCTCTAGCCCCGACAACCTCGTACTAGTTATGTAGCAAAACTCAAATTTATAAAATAAAGAGGAAATAAGGAAATAGAGAATAAACTGTTGCAGCAAAGATTGGTCATCTAAAGGTCTGTATTCAAAGCTGGTGGTAGAACAAAAACCATAGTTGTATAGTTTCTATCTCTTGATTAATTCAGTGGCTAATTTTGCCTTTTCTCAAAATTCTTTCACAAGAACCTAAAGATATTTTTGTTTCATTAGTCAAGTGCTGTAACTTTTTTCCTTTGTGTTTCTCATTGGAGTTATGATTTAATGGTCTATTGTAAGTTAATACAATAATTCATCTACTAACTTAAAGACACATTTAACTAAGACTTTTAAAATTATAAAAGTAGATATGGATTTTAGTAATAGGAAAAGTTTCAAAAGATTAAAAACTCTCACTTAAGGAAAACAACAGGACACATCATTGCCAAGTAGTGCTTTTCAGAGATTACCCCATTAAATACTCTTTTTTTTTGCATTAAAAATTATGTATAACATAACCACATTTATTTAAGAATGTATTTTAATATCAAATGGCAAATTTCAACAATGCTAAAACCACAATTACTTTTGCACGAACCTAATAATCTGATTAATCTAGAGTCCCAGTCATGTTCAGCTTAATTCAAATTTTACTGAATACTAAAACTTATACTAAGCACTCTTAATACATTCCATTGTGCTGAACTGGGCCATTTTACTATAACTAGAGTACACATTTCAATCAGCAAGAGCCCACATATGTTTCCTTGAGTACACTTTGAAGTGCTAGAGTATAAAGTAGTCTAATCAATCAAGTATTGTCTTAAATCAAGGAGCAAACTCTTGAACATGTTTGTTCATTCATTCTACAGGCATTTTTTTAGAAGCCCACTAAGAGAGAAGCATCATGATAGACCCCAGGATAAAGGCAGCTCACAAATCAAACGGTGTGAGTATAAATCATGTAACTAGTGCTACAGTAGAGCTAACAATGGAGATTCTGAGTATAATTAAAAACAAACAAACAAACAAAACTTCCCCAATGCTATTGGTCTTTACCTCCTTAATTTAGGTTTTCTGAACTGCATAGTATTCAGATCCACGCAAATACCTTCTTACAGACCAAAAAATGGCATTAAATTTGTATAAAACTATTTTTTGGGAACCAAGAGCCTTTAATGTGTTTAAACCAATAATTTATTCAACATCAACATTCGTTTACATTTAATATTCTCTTCACAGTCCATTTTTTAAAATACTATATCCTTAGAAATTTGGTTTATTAAGTTGTCATTTTCAGCTCTTTTGTTTGTTTGCTTTTGTGAGATTCATGAGTTTTGTTCTCAGGTAAATAAATGAAGTATATAGAATAAATATTGTGATTTTTGTCTGGGAAAGATAAGTAAGTGCTGAGGCTTAAAACAGAGGATACCTCTCCCTGCCCCCGTGGACCTGCAGTCTTACCTGCGGGGGGGAAGGTGTCCACGGCTGGCCAGCTGCTCTAGGCCAGAGTTCTCCCCATTCTGACTGCTCTCAAGGATTTCTTCATTCTGAAGTAAAAGAAATTTGGGTAAGATTTGATGTTTTGGGGGCCTCCTTAGCTATATTTTTCTTTCCCCCAGTTTCTGCGTTTGATTTTCGTTTTGATTTTCTAGATGACCAACATATCAAGTTCATCATCCTGCTCTTCTTGGGTTTTCCCCAGCCACTCTGGATCTGTTAAAAAAAACCAGTTTTATAACAACAGGGTTGTTAAATCCGTTATACAAACCCTTTAGGTTTCCTTTAGGCATGTCAAAAACTCATTCCCAAATGTAGGCATCTTTTTCCTTAATTACCAATGGCTATTCACATTGTAACTCCTCTTTCCCCCACGGAGTCATAAAAAAGATTTGGAGTTTGAGCCAGGAGGGACAAGAAAGAGATCCTTGGATTCACCATTTCCATTTTTTTTTTCTTTTTTTGGTGAGAAAGCAAGGTCTAGAGAAGTTGTGGCTTGCCCAATACCAGCAAGAGCTGGAGGCAGAGATGAGGTGGGTCCGGTGTGGGTTCTCACAGACTGGCGATAGCAAGTCCTGTCTACCCTGCTGCCTCCACAACATTGGGTCCACTAGGCAGGATAGAGGACTGGCCACCAGCGCAGGCTCCGAAGATAGGAAGCCGCTCTCCACCACTTACAGCTGTGAGATCGTGGGCAAGCTCAGTTAACCTCTCTGTGCCTTGATTTCCTCACCTAGAATATGGACACCATGGCACCATCTACCCTACAGGGCTGTGTTAAGGATTCAATGAGAGTGTGTGTAAATGTTTCATGTAGTGCCTGGCACGCAGGAAGCACTCAAATGCTGGCTAATTGCCTACTTCTTCCTTATTAGTTAATTTTGTGACACTCGTTGCTATCAATATGTTATACAAATTCACTTCATTATTAAAACTATATTTTCTTGACAGTAAGCTGAATAGGAGTCTTACCTTTTTTTGAGAATTAAATGTCGAATGTTATTCTAAGAAAGAGCCATGCCTATTTAATTTCTGAGAAGACACTATTAGTATAGATTCATATTCACTTGACATACAGTGAATGCCTAGAATGTGGCAATGTGCTAGGTGTTTTATTAATAAAATTAATAAACGGGTGAATTTTTAAAGTGCATCTTCATAAGACATTTTCATTCTTCATAAGATCATTTTCAAAGATCTAAGTCTTTGTAGTTGTATTTGCCATATTTAGGTTTCTCATTGAATTACCTTTTTTTTTTAATTTCAAATTTTTCCCTCCACTTGTCAATGGACCATTCAAACAGTGTAATAGACTATAGATATAAAAACCTAATGGAGGCCGGGCGCGGTGGATCACGCCTGTAATCCTAGCACTCTGGGAGGTCGAGGCAGGCAGATTGCTCGAGGTCAGGAGTTCGAAACCAGCCTGAGCAAGAGCGAGACCCCGTTTCTACTATAAATAGAAATTAATCGGCCAACTAATATATATAGAAAAAATTAGCCGGGCATGGTGGCACATGTCTGTAGTCCCAGCTACTCGGGAGGCTGAGGCAGCAGGATTGCTTGAGCCCAGGAGTTTGAGGTTGCTGTGAGCTAGGCTGATGCCATGGCACTCACTCTAGCCTAGGCAACAAAGCGAGACTGTCTCAAAAAAAAAAAAAAAAAAAAACCTAATGGAAGTGAATATTGATGCAAACTTGTCAACATTTTGTGTGTGTGTGTGTGTTGTGGTACAAGACCTACCTCTAAAATTAAAAAGCCAAATAACAATCTCTATGGAGCTAATCTTTTAAGGTAAGACTTTTTATTTTCATAATGTTTTTATTATATAATAAAAAATCTAAGATTGAGACATTTTAGACTCAGAAGCTCAATTTCTTTGGAGTAATTCTTTATTTTCCAGTTTATTTATGGCAAACTTTAATCCCTGAGGGTCAGAGTAAATAATTTACCTGGGATCAAAATACAAATTAGTGAGTGAAGATTAGATGGTAAATAATGTCAGTTCTGAAAAAGCACTTCCATTTCAATTTTTAAAAAAATATTTGATTTTTAGTCAGTTTTATTAAAGTATAAGTTACATACCAAAAAATTAACCTTTTTATGTGTACAGTTCATTGCACTTTGATAAATTCATACAGCTTTGAAACTACTACAATCAAGCAAGATACAGAACATTTTTAGCAGCCCCAAATTCCCTGTCCCTTTGCAGTCACTCCCTCCCTCCACCTCCAGCTACTGGAAACCACAGCTCTAATTTCTGTCCATGTACTTTTGTTTGCCTTTTCCAGAATGTCATATAAATGGATGATGGAGCAGAGTGTGTAGCCTTCTGAATCCAGCTCCTTTCACTTAGCAAAATGCTTTTGTCCTACATCTCCATCCTGGGTGTTGCCTCTATCCATAGTCAATTACTTTTTATTGACTATTTTATATCATACAGATGTACCACAATTTGTTTACGCTTTTCAATTAATATTTTTTAATCATATACTATGGAAACATCATCTAAGCTTTATAAATCAGGTTATGGTTCTCTTTAAATGAGTTATTTTACATTCTCAGAAAAGGGAATATAGATTTGGAAAAGGCCCTCTTGAAAAAGTATTGTTAAGGGCAATTTAATGAGTAAACATAAAAATCTCTTGTAAATCAGAACTGGAAGTTGAAGGATGAGCTTTCCCCACACTGAGGGATAGATGGGAAGTCTCCTTGCAAACAGGTGAGGACAGCCTGCTCAGCTAGTTGTTGACAATGCAACTAGAGTTCTCTCCCTGTGTCAACAGAAAGTAGTCAAGGTAAGGTGTTTTTATTACCCACAATGCTGATCACAGAGACAGCAATTTAAAAACTTTCAGTGGACTAAAGAAAACTGTGGATCTTTAATCTTTTTTGTACCTATCTTCCCAAATTTGGTATCATATCCAGAAAGCAAGCTAACAAAAAAGTATCTGAGATATTAGTTTTGCCAATTCAGCTCTAAAATAAAACAGCAATCTTATATTCCAAGTTCATATATAATATATTCTTTTCTTTTTACACAGGATGTCATTCCAATAAGAATCTAAACTTTAGTTCCCCCTATTATATATATCTGACCAAAGACTAGAAAATATTTTTCATGAACCAATATACAGAAGTAAATACCAGTCCCAGGATTCAAATTCAAACCAATCTAGTTATTTTTACCACAGTGCCAAAGTGCTTTCTTCACATTTTCTATATCAAGTTGAACTAATTAATATAGCAGTTAATGTTACACTGTATCCTTTTCTAGTTTCTCTTCTGTGACATTACTAGGCCTGATTTACCTACTAGACTTTGAACTCCATTCGTGTTCATCTTTGGATCCCTATCATGTATGTAATACAGTGCCTTCACAAAGAGTAACTACTATTGGCTGGGTGAGGTGGCTCATGCCTGCAATCCCAGCACTTTGGGAGAAAAAGGTAGGGGGAGGATCGCTTTAAGGCCAGGAGTCAAAGACCAACCTTGGCAACATAGTGAGACCTCATCTCTACAAAAAAATTTTTTAAAAAATTAGCCAGGATGGTAGCATACACCTGGAGGCCTAGCTAATTGGAAGGCTAGGCTGGAGAATCACTTGAGCCCAGGAGTTCCAGGTTACACTGAGCATTCTTGTTACTCTAGCCCAGGCAACAGGGCAAGACCCTGTCTCTTTCTAAATAAATAAATAAGAGTAACCACTATTATAACAAAACCTCCTCTTACTGTAAAACTTACTTCTGATTGCAAAATGAATTGTGCTTTTTCCAACTCTACTGATCCGTTGTTTGTGGAGTAGATTATAGAGTCTGTTATTTCATAATAACCAAGTGATGGAAAAATAACAATGACTCAAGGTGTAGGTATGGACTTTGTCATCTTTTACACTGAATAATGATGTCCTTCTAATTTATAGACATTGTCAGGCATGAGATGCCTTCATGGGCCTGTAGAAAGCCTTGGCACGGACTGGGTTGTGTCAATCCATGTTCCTGTGGCCACATGTCAGACAGCTTGTGTGGGGGTAGAGGGAGACTCGTCTGCCAATCATGTCTGATGAAATACAACACCGGTGCCACTGAGGACGTGATGGGAAGCATCCACAGCAGATCTGGGGACTGCTTTCATAAGAGCCTGCAGCAAGGTAGTTAACACTGTATACCAATGCTTTATTAAGGTTTTCACAGATTAGTTGTTCTAGTGTAGTGGTTTTCAAAGTCTGACCATAATCCATAAGAAGTACATCATAATACACACACACTCTCTCTCACAAATAACTTTTAAAAATTTATATTGTAACTGACATGATATACTCTTTTCATTCTATTCTTTTTATTTATTTTAAAGTGCTAGTGAATTCACCAAACTGAGTTTAATATCACCATTATGACCTGTAATTTCAAAACCTCTTATAGAGTAAAAAAGAACACAAACTTGAGTATGAGAGGTAGCCCTCAGTGGGAGTTCCTAGCTTGCTTTTTATTTAAAAGTAGTTTTGGGCAAGATTTCTGCACCTTAGTTCTCTCATCTATAACACAGAATTATTTCTCCATCATAGGATTAATGTGGTGATGAGATAATGTATTAAAATGCTTAGCACAAAGAAAGGCTCAATAAATGGCTCTTATGGTTGGCTCTTTAAGATCCATAAAGTATACTGCCTGACCGTCAGTAAGTACTGGGCGACAGGTACCTACTCATGTATAATCTGGACCCATATTTTCCACTAGCTGTGAGATGTTAGCAAGTCACTCAATGTCCCTGTGCATACATTTTCTTCTGTCTAAAATGATGGAGATGTATAATTTGGCTATGAAATGTCCCTTTGCTTATAATATATAATACCAAGATAGATGCTTTTGTTTCCAATTTTGAGATGAAAGTCGATCTGTAGCTAAAGTACTTTTGGGAAAAATTTAAATTACACTTCCTGAACAGCCTAGGAGAAAGAGGCCATATTCAAGCAAAAGCTTGCTTATCTGGTCTTTTATTCAAATAGTAGAGCAAAAAAGTTGACCACAGACCAACTAGCAATTGCTGCCCA